CAAATCAAATAAAATATAAACTTTTACCCATTCGAAATGCAATTGGATCTAATAACATAATAAAATTAATAGTAATTCTTGATCACAAATCACACCAAAGATAGAAAACTTTTTTTTACCAGCTTTATGAAAGATATTATAAACGCTTCTGCAAGCTGGATAACAGAGTGGTATCAAAGTTACAGAATCTTGCATCATATGTTCTATATCTTCATAAAATGGAAGATTTCCAGATGATGGTTTCTTATTCTGTTCATTTTTGTCATTAACATCTTTTCTATCATCATTTCCTTCACTTGTAATCGTTTCAGCATCATTTATTTGTTCATCACCGTTCCGTACATCCTCATTTTCGTTACCCAAACTTATATCTGACCAAGTTTTTGATTGATTAACCTTACTAATGGCATTATAATATTCTCTACTTCCAATCTTTAGTCCCTTTAGCAATAGAAACAATCCAATTGGTGAACCAATAGCGTACATATTTTCAACTTCAAATTCCAACTTCACATTTAGTTGCTTTTGCTTTCTTCTGTACAATTGTCTGTCTATGTAACCATGATGATGATTATCATCAATATCATGATGATGCAAAGTCGAAACAGATGTACGTTTCGAATTTAATTCTAAATGCGATCCGTTAATATTTGAATCTTGTGAACGATAAAAAGGGTTGGAAATCTCACTTAAGGAAACAGAAGGTGATGAATTTTCTTCATATATTCCACCAAACGATCCAACAAATGGTGGTTGATGACACAGAACATCGAAAGCTAAAAGCGAGCCAAGTGAATGTCCATAAATTGAAACCTTGCCACCAATTTTTAAAAAATTTGGATTACGATCTATAAATAACTTGTAGACGCGATTCATCTCATTTGTCACGGTAGTTAGCATCATTTCTCTAAATTTTGGTGTCATGTATAATAATACTAAAATAAATAATTATACTGTAAATAAATTTGAATTTTATAAATAAAAATTGCTATATTCAAACATCTTAAATTAATTTACCGTCTACTAATGCATCTGAAATTAATAATCTTAAATTCGGAACACAATCTAAAGTGATTTCATCCAAGGTAGGCTGACCTTCTTCACTAATAGCCAGACTTAAATCTCGTTGAATTTGCTCACTTTCTGATGCAATTCCAAACTTTATTGCAATAAATATATAAGATAAAAATATTTTTAATTCCTATATATATGCGAATATATTTCTGGCAATAAAAATACAGGATTCCTTATACCTTAATGTCTTGCCGCCAATGAATCGGTATAACTTGTATACCATTACCAAATTGGCTTCCTTTCTTATTACGCAAACCGTAATCTGGGTATAACTCACGATTTCCTAGTCTTGCAATTGCTTCTGGTGGTGGGTTTGTTGCATATACTTTTTTCAAAGTTTGTCTAAATTTATTTATCTCTAAGATTAAATGTAATATATTGAGCAATTTAAAAAGTTTATTTATGTCGTTATGAAATGCATGCATATGTGATAACTGTCAACATACCATTAATAAAACTAGCTTCACCGTCTCTTTCGCTTAATTTTTGTCCAATACTATATATTTAAATCAAAATTTTTGAAAAAAAATTTTTTTTAAAAAAAATAAAAATTTAAGTAAAATTTTGAGTAATAAAAACATATAAAATTCGAATAATCAAAATATGAAAACAAAATCTCGATATCTATATATATTTTACTCGTGCGCATCAAATCACCTTACTTACCCATGAATACAAAGAACTAAATGATCGATAACCCTTTCATCATCATCCTCAGATTCAAACTCATTAGAAGCTGCTTTTAAACTTGGTGTACCAGGAAAAAAAGTTTGTTGTAATGAAGATTATTTATT